AACTGGTGAAAGCTGATAACACAGATTCATCCGGGTAACTGAAGTCGGCCCTATACTCTTGCTAGGAACAGTTTTTTATTGGTGGAAGCTTTGCAGTTATTTACAATATTATAGCTTCTGTTAAGAAGAAATAATCCACTACAATCTTTCCAGTTTCAATTGTTTTCAGTGGAGACTTTCAGTTGTAATCCTGAAGAATTATGATGCCGTTTTTACCACAATCATAATTGTAATTTGCGCTGTATAAAACGAGAGAATGAAAGTGATACGAGACACATGAAAGTAGATGTTGGAAATTTGTTACTCAGATAAGAGGGACATAATACATTGTTATCCTGAGTAATAATCATTATTCTGAGAAATCTGACTGCCACGACTGTCAAAACCAAGTATTTCAAAAAGCTGTTTAATAAACAATGAGTGAAATAACAGGAATTAATATAAAAATAATATCAAAAATGTATATCAATCTTGAAAATGCAGTGTATCCGCATAAATTACTTTGCAGCACTACATTGTATTGAATTTTATTGTAGTTATCGCAAGATATCATTTTAGTAGATAATTGTGTTATTAACGTGTTAAACGTTTTCGTGTTGTGTTAAAATGACAGTGTTATTTATTTACAGTGCATTTTTTATATAGGTCTAATTGAAAATCATGGTCTCCTTTTTTTCTGTTTTTATGAACACTCCTAAAAAAAATAGTTTAAGTAATATTTTAGTGTTGATGTGCATCACATTTTTTACAGTGAAATTAAGTTGTAAAAAGCCACACAAAAAAAAGAAAAGAAAAAATTATATTGATCTACAATAAGTAACAATTTGGCTTAACTATATTGATCAAATATATGGTCTTTATAATAAATAATCTTTTTACTTTATATCATTGTTTTTGTGTTTTGTGTAAGAAAAATATTTTTGATTAATATTAAATCCAACATTAAGGTTTGAACCATACCATTAATAGAATTTGATACATTTGAGTATCATTTTTTTCAGTCTACAGTTAATAAGAATCTGTTACTGTATCATTTCAAAATTTGGGTCATAATAGTGTATCTTCTACCAGTTTCTTGAGCTGTCCTCTGATTGTCCTCCTCTAGAGCACATGGAAGAGCTGCAGTCAGACGGCTCACCGGAGTCTCCTCTGCGCTTCGTCTTCAATCTCAGCAGCGTCCCAGAGGAAGAACTAATTTCTACTGCAGAGCTTCGTATCTACAGGCAACAGATAGATGATGCAATCTCAGATCCCCAACCCACGGGAGACGACGGTCTCCACCGGATAAACATATACGAGGTGCTGAAGCCCCCGCGGGCCGGGCAGCTCATCACGCAGCTGCTGGACACTCGACTGGTGTGCCACAACACGACCCGATGGGAGAGCTTCGACGTGAGTCTGGCCGTGCTGCGCTGGACCCACGACAAGAGCTCCAATCACGGCCTGGCCGTGGAGGTGGTGCCCCTGAACCCAACCTCGCGTCACCAGGGACTCCACGTACGCGTAAGTCGCTCCTTGCATCCGCTTCCGGAAGAAGACTGGAACCAGCTTCGCCCGCTGCTGGTCACGTTCGGGCACGACGGCAAAAGTCACCCGCTGACGCGGCGAGCGAAGCGCAGCCCGAAGCAAAGAGGTCGCAAGCGCAACCGTAACTGTCGGCGACACGCACTTTACGTGGACTTCAGCGACGTGGGCTGGAACGACTGGATCGTGGCGCCG